TGCTGCTGCTGCTGCTCTGGATCTGCACTTTGGAAGCACTGATAGAAAGTAATGATCAGTCTCTATAGTAGACCAAGTATGAATTCATAATGCTTACTATAATTTCTGAATTTATCTTCCCTTACAAAACAAACAAACAAACCTTAAAAGGATTATATAGTAGGGCTAACCTGGTTTGCTTTAGCCTGTGTGAAATCACATGTGATTTAAGCTTTAATTCCAAAACAGCTAATAAGCAGTATATCTTGTACTGTTTTTCTGTTCAGCATTTATTTTGACTCACTAAGTTAATTCGCTTTACAGATGTTATTGAGTACCTACCAGGTGTCATATCCTGTTTAGAGTTGGGGTTCTAGCAGTGAATTCCTTCTCCATGGGGCTTACGTCTAGTTTGAGGGAGATTGACAATAAATAATATGTCAACTTATTTGGATTAAAAAAGTGTAAGAGTTGAACGTATTTATTCCTGCCTGGTATGAATTATAGACCTCTAATGGTTTCCTGTTTATCAGCAACCCGATAATATTTCCTGAATGAAGGTTCCAGTTATTCCATATGTTTTAGACTTTGTTTCATTTTATCTTAGTAAAAGTCAGTTAAACTACTTTCTCAGTGGAATTTAGACTGTGTGAGCTTGTTATTTTATAAATATGTGTTTCTAGGTTTAAGCCTTGTGGCATGATGTTTTTACATTTTTTTTAGTAAGTGTTTTAAAATTTCTTGAACTTCAGTGCCTCTAGAGGGCAACACACATTCTGCTGTTCAATAAAGCCCTCACCACTTTTGTTATTCTTGCACCAGGCCTGCTTTACTTGTTTATGTTATTAGCATGGCTGTTGTAGGTGTTTGTGCCTGTAGTGCCTTCTTTAAATAGCTTAAAAAGTAGTTCATTATTTTCAAGCTGAAAATCTAGCCTAGGTGAAATTTAGTAATTTAGTGGTAACTTTATTTTGTTTAGATTTCATACTTTCATTTTGGCTCTTACTTGCTGATAATGCTCATTACATACAGAAAAGGAATTTAGTTAATTATCTAAAAAGTAAAATTCAAGGAATTCTTTAGCTCATTGGATGTCTGTATATACTCTTTAGCCACATATAATATACATTGAAAAGACTGGCACAATACACTGGCACAGCCACAATGTACTGGTGGTGAGATTATGAGTGATTTTTTATTTCCTCCTTTTGCTTATGTGTTTTCTAATAACAGGCTTAATACTGAACTATAGAAATCAAGAAATAAAAAGTTGAAAAGTATTGTGTAAATAGGCAGCCCTACAGATCTCCTAAGATCTCATCATGCTGCTCTGATCTTAGCATTCCCATTTTAAAGTAGTAAATCAGCTGTCTTCTACACATAGCATGAATTTTGGCTACTCTTTTGTGTTTTGTTTCATTTTTGAGACAGTCTTGCTTTGTTGCCCAGACTGAGTACAGGGGTGTGAGTGAACATGGCTTGCTGCAACCTTGGTCTTTGGGCTTAAAAGATCCTCCCACCTCAGCCTCCCGAGTAGCTGAGACCACAGGCGTGCGTCACCACGCTCAGCTAATTTTTTTTAAAATTAAATTTTTGTAGAGATGAGTTCTCACCATGTTGCCCAGTGTAGTCTTGAACATCTGGGCACAGTCGTTGCTCTCGGCTTGGCCTCCCAAACTGCTGGGATTACAGGCATGAGCCAGCGCATCTGGCCTTCTCTTTCTTTTGGTCAGTGTAAACTTTTCTGTGGGCAAAGTTGAAAGTGATTACATATCTCTAATATAAGGATCTAGTTTTTAAGTTCAAGATTACACACACACTCTGAGAATGTATGTGTCAGATGTTAAACTGAACAAATAGCTAGGAGTTTTTGTTTTTTAAACCAAGGATTGGGTTGAGATAAGCAAGTAAATAAGTATCTTAAAGTTTCCTGGATTGTCATTTTAAGTGTTCACTGCAGATTGTTATGAAGAACCTTCCTGGGAAGAAATGTTAGCTAGCATGTAAGGTCACTGAATTGGCTTTCTATTAGTTATTCAGGTAACATAGATATGTATTGTATATAATAATATGTGTGGAAATAGAAACAGCTTTTTTTTTTAATGTGTGAAAATAGGGTTTTAGATTCTCTACTGTGACACATGCCTTTTTCAATTTGGTTTTAAAGTCTCTTTTCAAAGATATGTAAAAGCATCAGCAGTCACTGTTTCTGTAGTGAGTCCCCATTTTGTACTTAGAACTACAGGACTTTACATTTTGGTTTCTTTTTCCCCGCTTCTTCATATCTTTGACTTGGTGATTTGCGAAAGTGCGAAGCCTGTGCTTGAGAAGTAGGAGTGCTTCCAGATGGAGCCATAGCATGTGGTTTATTGAACTAAGCATTTTAGGAGCCCAGGAGATTGATATATTAATTACTGGCATTACTACTCGTAGTTTTCTTTTTGAGCATGTTATCTAAGCTTCAACTCTCAACTTTTGGTGTAGAGAGATATTTCATGTGGTTTAGGTGGTACACTGATAAGGGATTCTCTAACTCAGAATCACATAGAATGTAATTTCTTTTTCAGTTTTTTTTGAATCCTAAGGATTACAGAAATACAAAGGTCATATTCTAGAGCTAGTGTGTAACACTTTTCAGTATCAAGTGCAAGAGGGTGACCCTGGGAAGCAGCTCTAGGGGGATTGGGGAAGTGAGACAGGGAAGGTAAGGAAGCCAGTAAGGTAAAGTCACCACTGCAGGCAGCTGGAGTTGAGTACCAGTGAGGAGCTCTGGGAGTCAGTGTAGCACAGGGGCCTGAGAGTCATCTCACCCAAAAGGAGAGGGAGCTACTGGGGTAATGACACTGAATCTTCAGTGGTCATTGGTTGAAGTCTGCTCTGGGGTTGTTAATTCGCCCAGAATTTCTTACCTGCTCCTTCTGCAAGCAGAGCAAGCTCTGGCAGCTGGACAGAACACTGAGAGAAGTAGCTTTAGGGTATGGATGGGGTAAATGGGTGGGTGGGGCACCAACAGTATCTGCTATGCCCCCTGGACAGCTAAGCTTTTTGTGCAGTCTTCCTCATTTTAGTAAGCGACAACCCCATCCTTCGGCGCTCAAGCGAAAAGCTTTGGAGGAGCCACGGTTGACCTTACTTTCACATCTCACATCTAATCTATCAGTGAATCTTGTTGACTCTATTTTTAAAATATCTTCAAAATCTGACCTCTCCTTATTGTCCTCAGTGCCACCCTCTGGCCCAATCCCATATCAGCTCACAGCCTCCAAACTGAGTTTACTCTCAGCACAGCTGCTGGAATGATCCATATAAAACCTAACCCAGATCATGTCACTCCTCTGCTCAAAACCCTCCAGAGAGGCCTCCATCTTAGAGTAAAAGTCAAAGTCTTTACAATGGCCCATAAGGACCTACATGGTCTGGCCTCTTCCTACTGTATGTTTGCGCACATGCATGTACAATTCTTTTTGTCTTTAGCTTTACATTAGTCAAGACACTCCTTTATTCACCATTCCCTTTAGTGTGGGTTATGTGATTCATTTGTAATTAGGTTCGTTTTGTTGTGTTTTGCATTCCATCTTTACCACTACAGCCTTGTTGGTTTTTTTAAAATTTGCATAGTCATTTGATATACAGTTCTGTTGGTGTTGACAAATGCGTGAAGTGGTGTATCCCCCACCACAGTTCCATGCAAAACAGTTAATTGCCATAAAAATTCCTCATGCTACTGCTTTATAGATAATCCTTCTCCCCACCTTCCAGCCCCTGTCGACCACTGATCTGTTTTCCTCCCTGTGGTTTTGCCTTTAGTAGTATCATGTAAGTGGGACTCTTAGACTATGTAGCTGTTTGGGTCTGGCTTCTTTGACTTAGCAAAATGCATTTAAGATTATGCCATGCTGTTTTGTGAACATTCCTCAGTAGTTCATTCCTCAGATGTCCTGTGAAATAAAATTAAATAACAGAAGTGAATCGATTTAAAGAAAGTATTGAACAAAAGTGATATAGATGGTACATAGAAAAAAATCTGGAACCTGGATGACGAAGGTGTGGAAATGGATAATGTGATAAAAAGACGCTGGGAAGGCTTTGCTTTACCTGGTATCTCTGACAGTAATGAGTCTTGTGTTCTTGAGTCACTTAACCTTTCTGCTTCCTAGTCTGGTAAAATAATGAAATACCTGGTCTCGTTGTTGTTACTTCTGAGGTAACTGTGGTTCATGACACAGAATATAGGTAGGTTCTTCTGGTAGCTCTTTTTAAAATATTAACATTTCAGTGCCGTGAAGCAACTGTTACCTGGATTTCAAAGCTGTTAGGATCCCCTGTACAAATGCTTTGTGAAACCTGTAGTGTGGGAGTAAGAGCCTGTCTGTAGGAGTGAAGTAAGCCTCAGCACAGGGTGCCAGTTCACTGACTTCTTTTCTGTTGGGCTTATCCAGTTTAAGATAGTAGCAGCCTGAGTTGGAGCTGTAGTAATGATGAAGAGGTGCTGGTGGTATTGTAAATCTCAGCAAGTTTTCCAGCAACCTCTTTGTGACTGCAGCATTTGGACCTTAATCCTCATAGTCCTGTCCTTAGGTACATTTCCTCAAGGATGTCTACAAAGATTGATTGTTGGTGTTCACAGTTTCTCTGAATTCTCCTGTGGTTCATTGATAGGTCATTTTGTCACATAATTGCCTGTGTATCTGAGGGTCAGAGCATGTTTGAGACTGCTCCGCTGATGACAGAGGCTTATAGGAAATCCAGAAGGAAACCAGTGATGCTTGCTTGTTGGGTTGTTATTTTTAAAGATGGACAGGTTCATACTAATTCCTCTTAAACTCATGATTAATGGCTGCTTAACATCCTTGACCAGGTTGCTTTTTTTGTTTTTAATTGAAATAGGATAGTCAGGTGATAGAGTGTCAGTGTAAAATCAGAAGAGTAAGTGAGAGGAATTTGAGAGTGCAAAATGGCTGTGATTTGTGTTTGCTGCACATATAGCATGTAGTAATATTTATTTTACTTTTTACTTTTAGTAATGAATGTTATAACTATTGAAGATTATAAGAGCACATACTGGCCAAAATTGGATGGTGCCATAGATCAACTTTTAACTCAGAGTCCTGGTGACTATATCCCCATATCCTATGAACAGATATACAGGTAAGTCAAGATTTAATTTGCTTGGGTTTGAAAGGGTGTACCGAGGTTCAGGGCACTTGAATTATTCTGCACACAAATATGTAATGTAGAAAACGAAAGATGAGGCTCTGTGAGTGTTTTATGTATTCCACACTTACGGATTGGAGAGTTTGGTTTATACTTTTTGATTGAAAAGTAGTTTTCAAACCTGCCACCTCCACCATACATAATGCAGACACTGTGGAAGTCAGCAATAAAAGCAAGAATGACTGAAGTATCTGGCATAAAAATTGTATTTTTAGTCTCAGAGGGAGACCTTAGTTTAATCTGTTGGTGTTTATTGACATGCAGTTCTAACTCTCTTCGGTTATTTTGTTTCCCAGCTTTTGGTAAATGGAAGCAGCAAATTAGGAAGTGGGGTGGGATATGAGATCAGCACAGTGAAAGGAGGAAGTGGCAAGTATGTTGTTCCACATAGCTGATGTACAAAGACGTTGTATTGCAAAGACTTCCGTGAGTTAGAAACCTCTCTTTACTGATTATCAATCACTCTCTCTTCCTTATTTTGACATTCATTTAAAGAGAGAGAGAACCTGGTTTATAAGTAGTTATCATATTCAGACCTTAGATTCTCACCTAATGTTAGATTATCTAGTACTGATTAAATGTGTAATACACTACTTAGAAGAGCATATTGACAGCAGATGGTACTATCTTTTCCATCCGAACACTGATGGGGGAGGATGAATTTTTTATTTAAAAGTTGTGATTGGTTACTTTTTGAAGGTGTGAATTATTGGATCTGTGGCTATATATCAAAAGTGTGCTTTAAAAACTTGGTCTGAGTTAAGTGCTTTATGATTAACTTGGTTTGTGGGGGTTTTTGTTTGTTTTACAGTTGTGTGTATAAATGTGTATGCCAGCAGCACTCGGAACAGATGTATAGTGATCTGATTAAAAAGATAACTAATCACTTAGAGAGAGTCTCGAAGGAGCTGCAGGTAAAGAACTGATTGTATTGATTTTTGCTTCCTTGGGTTTTCCTGACTGGTTGCAGTTAGCTTGTCTAATACACATTTGGAAGCTTGTTAATTTGATTATGATATAAATTTATAAATGTTTTCTAGATGAATGTTGATCAAATCATGTAATTTTTGGAATAGAGTATTAATTTGAAAATTTGGTATAAATTGTGGAAATTTTTGGATTAAATATATTTCAGAACTTAACTGATTCCATTGATTACCATGTCAACATTTCTTTTATTTGAAACCTTATGTTTTTCAGTTAATGTCAATATTTGGTGACTTTTATGATACAAAACAAAATATGTGTATGTTTTAACTTTTTTTGGAACTCGTATTATCATCTTCGAAGAGTGGTTTGCCTGCTAATTTATAATGTCTTTCAATATGAACAACTGAAGTAAACACTTTATTGATAAACCTCCTGTAAATAGGCATCATCTCAGCTCTAAAGTCTGGGGCAGGTTGCAGAAAGTCTTCTGTTTAAGGGAGCACTTAGCTTGATCCTCCCCCTCCCCACTTCAGTAAACCTTCAGTGCTTGAAGATCAGGTATTATTAAGTTGGTGCAAAAGTAATTGTGGTTTTTGCCATTGAAAATAATGACAGAAACCTCCGTTACTTTTGCACCAACCAAATAATCTTTATACCAGGGCTTGATCCCACTTTGCTTTTGGTATGGAAGTAGAACAATGTCTAGAAAAATCGCTCAGCAATCCCAGCACTTTGGGAGGCTGAGACGGGCGGATCACAAAATCAGGAGATGGAGACCATCCTGGCCAACATGGTGAAACCCCGTCTCTACTAAAATACAAAAAAATTAGCTGGGCGTGGTTGCACACTCCTGTAGTCCCAGCTACTCAGGAGGCTGAGGCAGGGGAATAGCTTGAACCCAGGAGGCAGAGGTCGCAGTTAGCCGAGATTGCGTCACTGCACTCCAGCCTGGCGACAGAGTGAGACTCCGTCTCAAAAAAAAAAAAAAGTCACTCAGCAATAGATTACCAGGGTCTACACCACAATTAGGAAGCACCCCAGCAGTTTTGAAATAACCACAGTTTATAGCATATGCTGGGTTGGGCTTTGGGCTTTGGATGTTGTTCTTCACAACTTGTGGTCTGAGATAGTTTAGTCTTTTTTGTCTTTTTTCCCCCAAACAGTTGTTGTACTAAGTAGCATTTTGTTTTCTTTTTCAAATGATAGAGCTGTGTTTTGTCATAGTCAAATGTATACTTTTCTCGTTGTTAGTATAAATTTCTTTCTTCATATTTTTGCTGCCAACTATAAAATCTTTATTCATTTAACACATATTATTTAGTGCCTAGGCATTGTGTATAAATTGTTGATGAAACCCTAGGTCTATGCTTTATAGCTTTTGAGTGATTTGCTTTCTAATTCTTCACTCCACCATCTACCTGAATTCCCACCTGAATCCAATTTATGAACTTCTGGTCTCGCTGTGGACTCTGTCCACTTCTGTTCACTTGCCAGTACCCTAGTCAGGTTCATCATCATTTCTCAAGTGTTTTGCTGAAGTAAATGCTTATCTCAACTGCCATACTTTATTGATATACCTTAACTAGTTTTTGATTGATGAATATTTAGGTTACTTCCAGTCTTTGGCTATTACTAACAGTGCTGAAGTGAATAGTCAGTCTTGTAAGTAATGTCGTTTACTAAGTCCATATTGTGGTTCACAGAAGTTGTATCAAGTTGCATTCTCATCAGTTCTGTGTGTATCACAGTGTCTATTTTCCCTCACCCTACTAATACAGACTATTATGAAACTGAATAATTTTTAGTCTTATATTAATATAGGAATGATTCTTATTAATGATTAAAACGTAAGTCAGGGTGATATTTCTTTTGATGTTAGTGTTTTTTTAGTTTTTTTGAGATGGGGTCTCACTCTGTCTCCCGGTCTGGAGTGCAGTGGCACAGTCACGGCTTACTGCAGCTTTCACCTCCCTGGGCTCAGGTGATCAGCCTCCCCTGTAGCTGACACTACAGGTATGTGCCACCATGCCTGGCAAAATCTTTGTGTTTCTTGCCTTAGAGATGGGGTTTTGCCATGCTGCTCATGCTGGCCTCAAACTCCTGGACTCAAGCGATCTGCCAACCTCAGCCTCCCAAAGTGCTAGGATTACAGGTGTGAACCACTGTGCCCAGCCTGATGTTAATGTTTTTAAAAGGGGTAATATTTAGTTTGTTTTTAGAATCAATACATGTCCCACTTTGAGTTCAGCAGTATGCTCTTATGAAAAGTCTAGCTTCAAAGTGATTCCTTTTATAAGATTATAAAGTCTGTAACCATTATTAAATAGCAGTGGGGAGTAGTTTAAAACATGGGGATCCGGGGCTCTGTTTTCAGCTCTGTCACTCAGCATTTGTGTGTTTGCCTCTTTATTAAACATGCTAATATATATCATCTTATACATTTTCTTGACACTGAAATGAAGTAGATTTACTAAAATATCTTGTTCCTTCACGCTAAGGTGTAAGGTATTTTCTCGACATTAAAAGGAAGTAGATTTACTAAAATATCTAGTTCTTTACACTAAAGTGTAAGGTATTTTTTTCTTCTGCTTCCTGCCTGGCAAATGCTTCTTCATTCTTTTCTCAGGCTTAAACTCATTTGTGTCCATCTATGTAAAGCCTTCCTGGAACTCCTGCACTCCTCTTTAAACAGAACAGACTATTGGCATTTCTTCTGTGGATCCATAGCAGCTCAGCAATAAGAACTCTATTAGGGCAGTGATTGTGTTATTGTTTCTGCTTCCCTATCTGGCTACTTCACAGGCCCTCCCTTGACGGGGATGGACTCTGTCTTGTTTGTCTTTTTATCCTTAGTGTCTGCCACAATTACAACTCAGCAAATGTGTTTTGGCTGAATGCTGAGTAACTAAATATGAGCTGTGCTAATGGAAAGAGTAGCATAATTAGCTTCAGATGACCGCTACTCCTATGCTCTTTAGATTTGTGGGCATTTTATTTATTTGTTCAGTGTGATGTGTGTGGCCTGATGTAATCTTTATTTTATAGAGACCTTAAGGCAGTTTTCATGGGGGACAGATCAGGAGACTGTGCCAGGCTTTATGAGCCAGAAACATTTTATTTGGATGGAGCATTTTGTTTGCAGCTCTGGTTTTCATAATGAAATATTGTTGTTATGAGCCAAAACAAGTGTGTGGGAGGAGTTGCATTTGACAGATAATCAGAAATTTAGTGCTGGAGTTGATAAATCAATGATTTGGACCTAGAGGGTGTCAGCCTCAGTCAAGGGCATCTTAAAATAGCTGTGGGTTTGTATAGTTTATATGTCAGAGGGATTTATTTATTTTTATCCCAAAGCATATCCTGTTGGGGAGATTGAAGAGTATATAAAATAATGTTCCCATATTCTCCGGTTATTTTTAGTGATGACTTCAAAACTAAAGAACATGGTTTTTAGAGATTTTAGAATAATTTGTTGAATGTAAATGTTTTTTACGTGACAGCGTAATCTAACTTGCTGCCTCTTTTTTTTTTTTTTTGAACACATTTCTTTCATTTTGGAAATAATGACATTTCTACTGCAGGCACTTTAAAAAGTTTTTTTTTGTTGTTGCTGTTAAACTAATAAAACAAATGGCTAAGTCCCCTTAGTATTCTCCTTACTATTATATTTCACTATGTGTATATCTATACATTTTAACTTACTGCTGGATTATTTGAAATTGTGACAGTATATTTTGCCTTAATGTTTTTAAACCATGCTTTTCTCTTGTCCTGACTAACTCCCCTCTTCTTATTTATTTATTTATGAGACATTGTGTCAGTCTCTTACCTAGACTGGAGTGCAGTGGTATAATCCTGACTCACTTGCAGCCTTGACCTCCTGGGCTCAAATGATCCTCTGGCCTCAGCACTCCCAAGTAGCTGGGACTACAGGCGTGCACCTCCATGCCTGGCTAATTTTTGTGTTTTTTGTAGAGGTGGGGTTTTACCATGTTGCCTAGGCTGGTGTTCAACTTCTGGACTCAAATGATCATCCTGCCTTGGCCTCCCAAAGTGCTATGATTACAGGCATGGGCCACCACTCCCGGCTGTTCTTTCTTTAAATGTGATAATGAAATTTTATTTTTATTTTTATTTTTCTGTATCTCTAGAACGTCAAAATGTAAATTTCCAATTCTGGTATTTTCCTATATCAATGAATGGAAATAGATGACTATAGAGAGTAAATTGGTTTACCAATTCAGTAAATAATATTCTGAATAGTTTTGGAAAATTCTATGGAAACGTTTAGAAATTACCATATTTTTGGTGAGAGACCTGGACCAGGACCCTCAGACTAGGACCTACACTTGCCTGTTGGATTTGAATTTCGTCTTACAGATACCTCATACTGAGATCCAAATCTAAATTCCTCTTCATTCAAATTAGTTTCTTTCTGAGGCTTGATATTTCATATTCCTCTTAGCTTTTTCTCTCGTATTTCTGGGTGCTTAAGGTGGATGGAATACTATAATATCTCTTGCTCTGTCCTCTTTCATTCCCGTTGTTGTCTTCCTCTTCCATGTCATCATTGGCTCATGCCTGCACTAGTGGAGTATTTTTTTAATTGGTTGTCTTCCTGCAGTCTCTTCTTTTGGCTGAACAATCTAAAAACCCTAATTTGATGGATATACTTTCTTGTTCAAAAATCTAAAATACTAGTTACTGCTTTCCTTAATTAAGTAAACACAGCTGATGTTTTGGTCAGTGTAAAAAAACTGAGTGGTTTTATTGGTTGCAGGGGTTCCTAGTGGTAACGCTAATGTATCATATTTAAGTATGACTCTATTAGGTCCAGTAGTGGACATAAAATTGGTAAGACTAGATAGTGTGGACCGTCCCCCCGCTGAGAGCAATTACAAAAATTAGACCACAGAACTAATAAAAAAAGTGAATTATAGCGCCAGGATCTAAGAGAAGAAGGAAACTCAGAGAGAGGAACCTA